ATCTATATGTCTTTCCTTACACCAACACTGCCTTGATTACTGTAGCTTTAGAAGAAGTCTTAAAATTAGGTACTAAATGTCTTCCAACACTGTTTTCGTTTTTGTTTTTAACTTTTCTAGGTCCTCTGTACTCCTACATAACTTTTAAATTTCAATATCCAATTCTTCATTTATAGCAAGTATACACAAACCTGAATCTTGTGTTTTCTAATCCTGCTAAATTCAAATACAAGTTCTAGGGGCTCCTAGAGATTTCTTAGTATTTTCTCTGTGGATGATTATTTCATCTACGTATAAAGATTTTACTTCTACCTTGCCAATCGTATCCCAGTTGTGTCATTTTATTGCCAGACTATTTTGGTTTGGGCCTAGGTTTCAAAGTTTAATCGACAGATGAAGAGTAAGCATATCTGCCCTGGTTCCCCACCTTAAGGAGAAAGCATTGTGTCTTCTCCATTCATACAAGACGCTCTTGCTGGAAGTATCGAGTACAGGTCTTTAATCTGTTGAGAAGGTTCTGTTCTACTTCTAATCTCCTGATAGCTTTTACCATGAACAGCTGTAGAATTTAGTCCGATACTTTTTCTCCAACCAGTGACAGGATCATATGGCTTTTTCCTTTCCTCTGTTAAAATGATGACTTTTGGGGGTGGATCTTCCAATGCTGAACCAACCCTGCCATCCCTATAATAAAACCACTTTCTACATACTTCCAGATCTGACTTCTGATAGTTTGCTTTGCTAAACAAATTTTTACCTATGTTCATACTTTTTTCTTCTATTATCTTATCCACTTTTAGGATTAGCACAATGTTAATTTCCAAAAATGAGGGGAGACGTGTTCCTTTTTTCTGCTTTAAATGTTTGATATAATTCATCAGTTAAAATGTATATGAGCCTGTTGTCATATGGGTTGGTTTTCAAGCTAGGAATATACTTTAATAGGTGCTATTCAAATTTTGTATTTCCTCCAGAGTTAGTTTCATTATTTGCCTTCCAAGGTACTTCTTAGAAGTTGTCAAATTTATTTCAAAACAGATTTTTGAAAATATGCTTTCTATATCCTTTGAAATTCTGTAAAATCTGTGCTAATGTCTCCTAGGTCTTGATATTTTAATTTTAAAAATGTATAATTGATATTGTGTAACAGGAAGTAAAGGTCTAAAGGAGCAGGTAAAGTGGGAGGGGTAGGGGAAAGGAAAGAAGGGAAAAGAAAAAATAGGTGAAAAGGAAAAAAATGGAAACAAAATCTTTGCAAATAGGGAAGGATGGAGGGGGTGAAGGGAGGGCAGGGGAAGAGGAAAAAAAAATAAGAATCAAGATACTCATGTAATGATACAAGATCCCAATGAGGTATGTAAATGTATTTTATACCTAAAATGTTATACCAATAAACTTAACGGGGAAGAAAAAAAATTTGTTGTTTTAACTTTTTAAGCAAATTACAGAATTGATGCCCACACACAGAAGTAGAATTATTTTCATTATTCATAGTTTTCAATCATCATTAATCTTCTCTGCTGCTGCTTATAGTTGGCACCCAAATATTGATGAAGTAACTGAATCAGCTCTCCACGGTTAGACTAACTGCCATGTTCTTGCTTTCCAAGAATATTTGCTGCTTTTTAAAATTGTGGCAACGGGCCGGGGATTTAGCTCAGTGGTTCAGGCACCTGCCTCGCAAGCGCAAGGTCCTGAGTTTGATCCCTGGTACCAAAAATAAATAAATAACTAAAAAAAAAAAAATAAATAAAATAAAATAAAATAAAACTGTGGCAAAATATACATAAAATTTACCATTTTAAACATAAGTGTATAGTTCAGAAGCATAAAGTAAATTTATCACTGCTGTACAATCATCACTATATCTCCAGAAATGTCCCAACTTTTTAATATAAGTCTTGTTATGGTTTAGATCCATAATGGCCCCTAAAGTGTTGTGTTTGGGAGCCAACTGGATTATGAAGTTACAGCTGATTATGCTGTTACAGGTGGGGTCAAGGGTTTATCTCCTTTCACTGCTTCTCCTTTGTTTCCTGGCAATCAGGACATTAGCAGGTTTTCCGTAAGCTGTTTCTTCTTTTGGAGCCAGCTGATCATGGACTGAACGATGAGCCAAAACAAATCTCTCCTCCTTTAAGTTGTGAGTGTTGGGTACTTTGTCTCAGTGACAAGAAAGTGAGTAAAACACATTTATTCTTTTTTAAAAGATCATCCATTAAATACGCACCTAACAATAAGTACTTTGAAGCTAGCTGTGGTGGCACAAACCAATAATCATAGTCACTCGGAAGCTAAGGCAAGTGGATTGTGAGCTGGAGGCCAGATGAGGCAGCACAGCAAGAATGTCTCAAAATAAAAAGAACTGGGAATGCAACTCAGTGGTAGAGTACTTCCCTAGAATGAGCGAAGCTCTGGGTTCAATCCCCAGAATCCAAAAATATAAACAAACAAGCAAGCAATTAAGCAAGCCACTGAGTCAAGTGCTAGGACACAAACAGAAGTCTATTCTAGTAGCTTGGGATTTGGAACCTCTGACTATAATAATGACTGTTATTTCTTATTTAATATATCCTGCAAAACCAAAATTTGTCTACAACTTATAAATGGTGTTAAGCAACAATTTCACTGTTTGCTTCTGTGTTTGTTTCACTGTGTGCTGAAAAAATACAGTACACATATACCAATGCTGTAAGTGGGATGCAAAATATTAAATAATATAAAATGTAAAATTCTGTAATTTTGAGGTAGATGAAATGATCAGGTAAGCATGCTCTGGAAGATCGGGGTTCAATACCAACTACCTTCTATGTGACTTGTTACTTGGTAAAATGTTTCAGTTTCAGCATGTAAAATATACAAGATTCACATGATTGTGCAAAAATTGCTGACAAGACATTTCAGTGTAGGCATTCTTATCTCATTAAGTATATCGAATAAAATGTAACTTAACTATCAGAATTCTAAAACTGCTTTATAATTCTAAAACCTTACCGTCTCTAGCCAAAAGCGATCGAGGTCACTTCGTCTCTGCTGTTTGTTCAATGTGATTAGCCATCGTCCTCCGCGTTTATTTTTCTCATCTTCCCACATGGGCTCAATACCATCCTACAAGTAAGAATACAACAGTATTAGACAATATTATAATCCTCACTTTGAGATTATGAGAACCAGCAAGCAACACTGTCAACTTTTAAATTTTCTTATAAAACTGTCACTGGTGTACTTTTTAAAGTACAGAGAGGTCTTAAAAGCCAGAGGCATGAGATTCCAAAATTAGAGTACTGACTTTGTCACTTACTAGCTATCAAATCTTGCCTTTTACTTAATTTGGAGGTTCCTACACCTTCTAAGTAGTAGATACCTTTTAGAATCTACACACACTTAAGATACCTAAAAATACATGCAAAAAGTATGTAATTTCAGAGTTAACTAAAGCCCCATAGTCCTACCACCTGACAAGGACCCCTGCAGCCCTAGTTAAGAATGCTTGACAAACAAACTCAGGCTACCTGAATAAAGGAGGAATTGAACTGCATAATCAAAGCTCTCACCAAAATCAATCTCAGTCGTTGTACAGAGTAATACTCTCTCCATTTCTACAATTTCTACCAATATATTGATGCTTAAGCCTAGTAAAGCCAATTTATTAGCCTGTACACTGCAGTATAAACTATACCCAAGTTTATTGCAATATTTTTCAATGAACACCTGAATGGTCCAGTCCTATAATACATACATGAAAATACCAATTAGGCATACCTTAAAAAGTGAGTAGTCACAGCCAGGCATTAAATTACTAGACAACTGGATATGGTTGTACAGACTAAGTAAAAGAAAAGGACAATTAAAAATATGAATATAGAGTTTAGGCACTTTAGAAAATATAATAAAGTTCATGCATGTTTGTTTTGCTATGGAGTTAATTTCTAAAATAGACAAAACAGATACTAAGTTCAAGAAACAATTTATAAAACAATTTTCAGTAACTATTTTAAATTATTTTAATCTGACAAAAAGATTTTGATACAGTATTAACTCAAGGCATACCTATGTATATGAAACTGAAAATAAAGGTGAGGTTGTTTAAATAAATGAATTTATAAAGCTAATGAACAATTATTTGTTCAGAAATATACTAAAAAATAAACCAAGAGAAAAGATGAACCACCTGACTACCAGGATCACATGACTCAAACAGTCAACATTATTTCTGGAGGTATTCAAGTGCAGAAAAGACTAATGGTTCCCAAACGCTAAAGATTGTTACTTATTAGTACAATAATTATTGTGGGAGGTTTAAAAAAACAGGTCTAAGCTCTCCTTGAGATTATAGTCACTTATACATAAGGCAGAATCTATACTTCTAAACTATTTCCCATCTTACAATATCAACAGACATATTATGGCAATATATGTACACCAATATTTATAGCAGCACAATTTGTAACAGCTAAATCCTGGAAGCAGCCTGTATGTTCATCAACAGATGAACAGATAAAGAAAATGTGGCATCTTTATATAATGGAATACTACTTGGCTATATAATAAATAAATCTGAGACATTTGTAGGAAAATGGATACAACTGGAAAATATGTTACGTGAAATAAATCAGACACACAAGCTTAAATGCTGCATGGTATCTCTAATTTGAGTGAGGCAAGTAGAAATAAAGACCAAAATAAAGGACTGATAGATGGAAACAGGATCTTTTGTAAATGGGATGGGGAGACCGGGGCGGGGGGGGGGGGGAGATTTAAGATGTGTCATGTACAGGTACCAAATATCCACAATGAACATAAACATTGAATGCCATAAGCTTGAACTAAGAATAACAACAATAATAACGAAAATGGGAAAAGGAGATTCATAGATGGAAGGAGGGAGGTGGGTGAGGAGATTAAAAAGAATCAAGATGTATTTTGTTTTGTACATGCACCTATTCCCTAAGATGAATGTAAACTTCATATACTGCAAACATGTACTAATAAAAGTAAAAAAAATTAAACTATTTTCCAAATATAAAAATAAAGTAAAATTTTAGATTACTTACTCATTTGTTTAAAGGGAGAAGACTAGATCATTTGATCTCCTGTAGTCTCTTAACAAGTCTTTTAAAACTTGTTTTAAAAATTGGCAACAGGATAAGAATGCTTTGTCTCCAATATTAGATGGTAGAAAATATCTTCGCTATATGCCTACAAACCTAAGTCAGGTTCTCTTGGTGCTATTTTAACCCAACCTAGGAATATCTCAGGCTGAGTTTTAAGAATCTGGCATCCTTTCATCACACTGCACCGAACAAAACACCTAGTATAATCTACTATTTATAAGATACCATGAGACTATACAAAAGGTCCTGGACACTAACAGTAATTATACCATTAACACCATTACTTTCATGGAGAGAACTAATTTAAATGAGTAGCATGAGAGTGGCTTTCTTCAGTGGTATTCAAGGAGGAAGACTTCTTTATGCTGCCTCTTTTGTTCTTCATACTGCTTTTAGGTCTCTTTAAGTAAATGAGAATTCATAATGGCACATTAAATAGATAAATCCTAAGAATACACAGGTTAGTTAAAAACAAAAGGACTCGGGCGGGAATTTGGCTCAGTGGTTCCACTGCCTGCCTCGCAAGTGGAAGGACCCGAGTTCGATCCCCAGCACCACCAAAAAAAAGAAAGAAAGAAAAAAAGGACTCAATAGTTGCTTAGATTAAGTGTTAGAAAAAAGAAATTAAGGGCCGGGGATTTAGCTCAGTGGTTTCACCGCCTGCAGGGCAAGCTCAAGGACCCGAGTTGGATCCCTGGCACCAAAATAAACAAATAAATAAGTAAATAAATAGAAAAAAGAAATTAAGAAATGACAAGATATTTATAGAAAACCAAAGGACTCCTTCAAATTTCTAAATTATGGTATAAAAATCCACTATGCAATGACACTGTTTACATATAACTAAAATGTAGAGCAATGTTATAATTAGAGGACAAGTAAGAAATGTAATTATGTAAATTGGTAAAAGCCAAAAAAATCTAGACATATACAAATCTGATTGGAGGAGGGGTTCAAGATTTCTTTTTCCTCTGTAGGAGACTAGAGAGCATTTTGTATGGAGACTAGTTATTCAAATTTTGACCAGGAGGCTACTGGAGAAGAAAAACCACTTGATGTTTTGAAGAAAGGTAGAGCAAAATAAGTTCAATTTAACTAGACAACTACATCTATTAAAAGTAATTCTATTACTGGGCCAGGGATTTAGCTCAATGGCACCATGCCTGCCTTGCAAGCACAAGGTCCAGAGTTCAATCCCCGTTACAAAAAAAAAAAAGTAATTCTATTATTTAAAAAAAGATAATGTTTTTCATTAAAAAAAATTCTCAGAGTAGTTAAGTTTACAATTCATAGTTTTCTTTAATCTATGCTTTGCTTTTTTCAATGATCCAAATGTACACTGAATGTCTATTAGAGACTAAGCACTGGAAATACACAGAATAGTTTTTGCCCTTGAAATAGTATTCATAAATTTATGACCATGATCCATTCTTTTGTGTGGACAGAATACACTCAAGGGGTTACATTAAAACATGAGTAGCATCGCTAATTCATCATGTATATGATTCTAAAATATGGATGTGAAAGTTGTAATTTTTAGATAACTGCTAGGTAATTCAAAGCTCTTAAAAATGTGTTTTTAGGGCCAGGGATTTAGCTCAGTTGGCGCCACGCCTGCCTCACAAGAACAAGGTCATGAGTTCAATTCCCGGTAACCCTCCCCCCGAAATATGTTTTAAGTTTTGCCTTTCACATTCTCAAAACAGTATCTCCCTATACATTCTCCATATAAAAACACACTAAATTGATTTTGTAGGAACTGAGAATGTAGCTCCATGGTACAGCCCTAGCCTAATACATGCTAGGACAATCTTTAACAAAAGAAAAAAAAAATTTTTGGAGATCAGTATCAAAGCTTGACAAAGATTGTGATTTTAAATTGTATTTTGAAGTCATGCACATCTAATTTCCATTCTTCTTAAGTTTATGACAAAGTATAATGAAATTAACAACTATCATCAAAGAAATTGTCATTCTGTTGACATTCCCTAAATTTTGATGTCAATCTTTGATATTTCACAATCCCTACCACAGGAAATTTTAGATACTGTGTTGAAAATAGTTTATAAAAATGGAGACCCTAATAATGTTCTGATATACTTTGTTTTGAGGCAAATGTGTCTAGGTAACCACAAAAGAGAACAAGTTTCAACTAGCTGTCCAAAGCTCTGGGGCAGTAAAGGATTCTCAATGGAAAAACAGGTATCTTAGGACAAGGACTACAGAATATTCAGGCCTAAAGGATGACAAGATTGAAGTTTCTAAAACCAGTGAGGCATAACACCATCCAAACATCTATGAAGAGATGGACATAGAAATAGTTCTACAGATGAAGATTCATTAATTTCACCTAGACCTTCACTTTATGAATTTGATTTAAAATGAAAAAATATGCAACTAAAAAATTACAAATACATACCCTAAATTAAATACTTACGCCCAAAAGTCTTCAACAGTATCAAACTTAGAGATCAGTCGAAGGTTTGCTTGCCAAGTTTTACTTTTATCATTTTTAAAAAACCAGAGTGCCCATCTAAAAATAAAAAGTCAGTGTTAAAAAAGTAGTTGTGCACACCAATCCTCACAGCAAAATTATTATTCACAATAGTCAATAGTCAAACAATGGACACAATCCAAGTGTCCATCACCAAGTCAACAGATGAACAAAATATAGCTGATATACAATGGAATATCCACAAGCCTTAAAGAAGGACATTCTTGAGACAAGCTGGATGAAGCCAGTCATGCAAAGAGAAATACTTTATAATTTCACTTACAAGAGGCACCTAAGTAGTTACATTCATAAAGACAAAGAGAATGGTGGTTGTGAGGCGCTGGGGAGAGGATGGAATACAAATTGTTTAATGGATTAGACAGTATCACTCTCTTAAGATAAAGACAGTTCTGGAGATTGGTAGCACAACAATGTGAACATATTTAACATTATTAAGCTGTAGGTTTAAAAATGCTAATAAGGCAAATTTTATGTTGTGTGTATTTTATCACAAACATTTAAAATAAAAATTTAAAGTGGTAGTTCTTATTACAGAGACAAATATGTTTTCTCTTTCTTTCATTTAAAAAATATGCATTTCAGCTGAATAAGTGAGGCCCTGGGTTTAAGCCCCTGCACTACAATATAAAACAAAACTTTAAAACGGGCAACATTTAATATCTACTACATAATAGATTCCCTGCTACACTTACAGACCCTGAGTCTAATCACTTGGGAGATTACATAGAAATGTAGCAGAGAGGGCTGGGGTTTTAACTCAGTGGTTCTGCCGCCTGCCTCGCAAGCACAAGGACCAGAGTTCGATCCCCGGTACCAAAAAAAAAAAAAAAGAAAAAGAAATGTAGCAGAGAGACAATTACAGTGTAGTAGGTACTACAATAAAGAAAAGCACAGTTATTTAAGGAGGAAAAAAAAGTGTATAAGTACTTAACAATAAAGGAAAGTGAGGAAGAGAAAGGCTCAATTTCAAGGGGAACAAATAGCTATTAGCTAAACAGAGAGAGATGCGAGTTGCTAGGAAGAGGCAAAACTAATAAGTGTGATTCTATATGAATTCAAATGCACAAATGGGAAAATAAAAGGGTTGACTAAAGCTACAAATATATGTTCTGAAATAATGTATAGCAGTTGCTATACTTCTATATTGTATCTGATTACAAGTTTTATTCCTAATATATAATGGCTCACTGACAATGTTATCAACCCAAAATGATTCACCTTTAGAAGAATTAAATTATACATATACATATATATACACACATATACATATATATGTATGTGTGTGTGTGTGTATGTGTACATATATTTATATGTGTATATTTTCCCACCACCACCACCAGGGATTGAACTCAGGACCTTGCGCTTGCGAGGCAGGCGCACCACCACCGAGCTAAAGCCCCAGCCAAATTCAATATTCTTGAAGTGTAACACGGGTCACCCTGATATATGTGGGTTTCATATTCCCAGGTTACACATCCTGATTCTCAGGTTACACATCCCAATTCTAAATCATCAAAGGGGGAAAACATTAAAGGAGGGAGACAGAACAAAACAAAACAAAAACAAAGTAAAAAAAAAAAAACCCTCCTAGGAATTATAAATAATCTACAGATGGGTTAAGTATACAGAAGGATGTGCAAAGGTTATATGCAAATAATACATTATTTTACAGAAGGGACTTGCGCAGCCTGAGTTCCTCCATCTAAGGGACCAATGCACCAAAGGTTAAGTCAAAGGGAAATTCTATTTTCTCATCAGTAAAATTGTCTGAAAAGCTTTCCAAATTGGATAATACTCCATAATTCAATGATCAATGCCTGTAAACCCCTGTTAGACACAAAGATGAGATCCATTTCAACTTGTACTTGAATAATCTGTTTGCATTTGCCAACTCACTATCAAGGAAAAAAAAAACAGGCAAAAAAATTACTTAGACTTTTTATTTTTTAAAGCGAACTGTACTCAGAGGCCTGGTATTATGGCATACCTGTATGCCAGGCACTTGAGAGGTAGAGGCAGATTGAGAGCTTGAGGACAGCCTGGACTACACTAGACCTTGTCTCCAGGAAAAAAAAAAAAAAGATACCAAGATCTCTTTTTTCCATATAAAGCTAAGGTACTTATTTTACTGGTTAGCATCAGTGGTATGTAAACAATCCTGGGTAAATCTGTTGATGCCTTAGCAAGAATAAAACCAGACCACTCAACTACACTAGTAGTCACTGTATCCTTCATATCTTTTTAAAAAATCTTATTAGTAGTACACGCTTGCAGTAAATGCAGTTTACAATCATCTTGGGGAGTGGATACATGTACAATACAGCTTGGTTCTTTTTTTGTAATTCCCTTCCTACCTCCCTCCCACAAATTGCCTTTCCTTATCTTTGTTTTTGTTGATATTAATCTTATCTCAAGTTTGATATATATTTATATTCATTGAGGTTATTAGGTTCCTGTACATGGCATTTCGTTGGTCTACTTATTTCCCCTTCCCCTTCTCTCACCAACATTCTCTTGGATCCCTTCCCATTTTCAAGAGATCCACACCCTTGTTGCCTTCTATCCATTCTCTATTGTGCTCTTTCTTTGTACTCTGCCTCTCTCAAATGAGATATTGTACAGTACACTATTTAAGCTTCTGTGTCTGATTTATTTCATTGAACATATTTTCCAGTGCATCCATTTTCCCACAAATGTCCCAAGTTTGTCCTTTATAACCGAGTAATATTCCATTAATATATATATATATATGGATACATTTTCTTTAACCAATTGTCTGTTGCTGAGTATACAGGATGCTTCTAGGATTTAACTATTATTAATTGTGCTACTATAAACACTGGTATGCATGGTTGCTACAGTATTATGTCTTTAGTTCTTTGGGAGATACCTAGACGGCAGATAACTAGGTCATGTGGAATTTGTAATTTTAGTTGAGGAATTTTCATAATGGCTATACTAATTTACATGCCACCAACAATGCAGGAGAATTCCTTTTTCACTGCAGCCATGCTAGCATTTGTAATTTTTTGATTTCTTGATGATTGCCATTCTTTCTGGTGTAAGATGGAATCTTAGCATTAATTTGCATTTCTCTAATGGCCAAGGATATTGAATAGTTTTTCATGTACTTGTTGGCCATTTGTATTTCTTGCTCGGAGAAGTGTCTGTTCATTTCACTTGTTCCATTTTTTGATTGTCTTTTATTTTCTGTGGTCTAGTTTTTTTCGAGTTCTTTATATATTCTAGGTATTAGTCCTCTGAGGAATAGTTGGCGAAAATTTTTTCCCAATCTGTAGGTTGTCTCTTTACTGATTCCTTTGCTGTGCAGAAGCTTTTTAATTTGATGTAATCCCATTTGCTGATTCTGGCTGTTATTTCCTGTGAAATTGCAGTTCCGTTTAGGAAATCCTTTCCCACACCTATGACTTCAAGTGTTTTACACATCCTTTATCATCATCATCACTTCAAAGTAAAAGTAATCCCAGTTTTAAGGATGTCCTGATGCAACAATAAAAACATTCTCATTAAATTTCAATCTATTTACATGACTTTTTCATATTTTACATGTAAAAATTAGTACAAAAATTAGAGGGGCCGGGGATTTAGCTCAGTGGTTACATCGCCTGCCTTGCAAGCACAAGGACTCAAGTTTGAAACCCAGTACCAAAAAAAAAAAAAAAGGAAAAAAAGAAAACATTTCTAATGCATAACAAAATACAGTGTTTAGGCAACTTTAAATTTTTAGGTGAGCTAGTGACTCTTTCAGGGAATATCATTTTTATTTGAAAAAGTAACTGATAGTTTTGTTTTTGGTGGTGGTACTGGCAATCGGACTCATGACCTTGAACTTGAGGGGCAGGTGCGGTGCCACTGAGCTAAATCTCTGGCCTGATTAGTTTTTTTGGAGGGGAAAACTTAACAGTTGTAAGCCTGCTGCTTAAAATGTGAGTTTTCAGGAAAAAAAATAACAATGTTTGAAAGCTTTCATTTGCTATTGTAAGCATGACAACTTCCTAAAAAGACATTACTGATGAATTTGAGTTACATCAATGAATTCTATCACATGGGAGGCTGAGGCAGGAGGTTCACCAGCTTGAGGCCAGCAAGGCTACAGTGAGTGAGTTCAAGGCTGGCATGGACTAGAGATTGACTTCAAAACAAAATTAAAATCCTCTTAAAAACAAACAAAAAAACCTCCAAGAAGGTAAGGCAAGAGGATGGCAAGTTCGAAGCCAACTTGAGCAACTTGATGAGATTGTGTCTCAAAAATTTACAAATTTTAAAAGGGGGCTAAAGATGTAGTTCAGTAGTAATGCATTTCCCTAGCACAGCTGAGGCAAGTTTAATCCCCAGGACTAAGGGGAAGGGGGTACACACAATTCCACAATGTTAAAAGACATGATTTGGATAATCTACTTCAAACTAACACTTCCCTACCTCTGCTGCTTTGGATGGATTAATAACATACCTAAAATATAATGCCTAAAAATAAACCTGAAAAGACAATCCTAAAGAAAAAAGATAAAAAGAACTGAATGAACTATGTACAGATAAAACCACAGATGGTCAATATAATAGAAAAATGTTTCAAAGTTCAATACAAGAAATGAAAATTAAAAAATAAGAAGCTTTCACAAATCAGACTGGTACCAATGTGGCTGGCAACAATGCAAAAGACTAATGATGCTAATTTAGTAAGGATGTAGAAACCAAGACCTCTCCAGCTACTGAGTATAAACTGATCAAGGAGAGTAATTTGGCAGTTTTTGCAAAAGTTGTTAAAAGGGTAGTCTTTGAACTAGGAAATCTGAAATTTTATTCTACAGACATATTCACAAAATACAAAAATATGTATTAGGTTGTAATTGCAGCACTATTTGAAAATAAGAAAAACTCTCTATTCCCACTAATGTAAGCCTGATAAAACACATGACTGGATTCATATGAACACATGGCTAAAACACTGGGACAAAATCTACACAAACAAAAAAATAACAGTATTAGTGATTTGCTTAAAAATACAGTATATATATGTATACTTAAAACTTCTGGAACAATACAAGCCAAATTTAACAGATCCCTGGGGAGTAAAGTAAAACAGTATTTGAGAAAGCCAAGAACTTTTGATTTATATACTTGTGCCCTGTTCACTTAAATCATTCTTATAATTATTAAGGGTTATTTGTGAAGAAAACACAATCTTCTGCAGTATTTATAAAAAGTACATAATGAGGAAACTACCAAATTTGAACCATAAATCATCTTATAATATTTTCCTGAATAATATTTGCTATTTTACACAAAAAATACAATTTATAGAGAAACCGAAGTTCTTAAAGACTGGGCCGGGGATTTAGCTCAGTGGTTTTGCCGCCTGCTGCGCAAGAGCAAGGACCCAAGTTCAACGCCTGGTACCAAAAATAAACAAACAAACAAACAAAAAAGTCCTCAGAGACTTTAGGATTTAATTTGTTAACTGAAGATGAAACTTTTCAAAAATCTCTTCAGCTTTCCCTCAAGCTGTGCGGGATACATGCTTTGATCACTTCTCTCTACAACATCAACACCAAGAACTATATTCACAAACAACTAGAAACTATACAGAGTTAGAAGATAACGCCCCACCAAACAACTTAAAAAAAAAAATCTCCAAGGATATTGGTGTTGTTACACGGAACTATACAAATTTGTTGTTCAATGTAAAACATTAGGCACAATGCTTTTCTAAGAAAGGATTTTACTCTTTAGGGACTATTCGATCTTTGGTGTTCCACTAAATGACAAGGTCCATCACCTACACTGATTTGTTCCCCATTGAAGGGTTTTTAAATTATAGTACCTCCTGTGAGAAAACTTCATGAAGTATATTTGGACTATCATGTCAATAGGTCTCCCACGATAAAAAAATGACAATATTTAGACCATGAAGGGAAATTTTATTTTTAAAAATAAATGAAATTAAAACTATAAACAGGCTTGCAGGCCCTTACAAGCAAACGAAGTAAAGGATCTGCCCTGGAAAACAGCAGAATTAACCCAGAAGGTTCTTACAATGTTTCTGGGCTGTTTTCTTCCCACATCAGCTTTTCATGGAATCAAGTTAATTTTCACTGTATAATCCAGAAAAACAGTAAGTAAACACATAAATATACTGGAAAGGAATGGGTATGTCAAGAAAAGGTACACAGTGAAATACTACTCTACACTGTTAACTATGAAAATTCATCTTAATATCTCTCTTTTCTTTTTTTTGGAGACAAGGTCTTGCTAAGTAGGATGCTGGCCTCGAAATCACATCGATCCTCCTGCCTCAGCCTCCCAAAGTCTAGGATTACAGGCATGTGCCACCACCCTTGGCTTTATATCTCTTTTCCTCCTAATTTGTCTCTTAAATTCCACCAATGCACCTCCAGTTACATCATCTACCTCTCCTTCAGTCCAACTTCAAGTTACCTGCTATTCCTCTATAAATGTGTTTATGTCCTCTTCACTCTGCTCCACTATTTCATCACCTGTACTCTACAAAAAACCTTTCCCTTAAGCATTTTTAAAAAACTGTCCAACCCACTGGATATTTTAAGATTTTGCTTAAATAAAGCCTTTTTGGCGCATATGCTGTTGACTTCCTTATTTTTAGAAAAAAAATTAATTTTGTTTCCATGATGTCCTACTTTGTCCTTTTTATCTATATCCTAGCTATGCATTTTCCTTCAACAAAAGCCCTGTTATGTACTGAAATCAAGGTGTTTGTCCTGCATAATTTACTTAAGAGAACTAATTTACTACCATGGCTTTAAATGTACATCTGAAACCAGTTTTATCTAATTTTCCTTTTCAAATTTGCTCTGTTCTCTTTTCACCTTGTTACCTAAATCAAAAAATGTAGGTGTCAGAAAGCTTACCTGTTCTGAAGAGGATGTTTAATATAGTGTTCTGGGTTAGCAACCTCCTGGTTAGATTCTGTTTTCTCCTCTTCTGCAGGTGGGGGATTAGGAGTAGGGGTGGTTTCCTAGTGGAAAGTAACATAAAAAACTATTTCAAATTTCTGAACATTATCTATGGCAGCAATATTCTAATATACTTGAGCCAATGCTGCTGATAATAGTCAGAAATGTATGTTAACATAACAAGATATGTAAATCATACGTACATGGGAAAAGAGCTCAAACCAGATAGGTGCTAAGTACTCATTTTTTAAAATTAATTTTACTGGTACACTTTAGATATACATAATGATAACATTCATCATAAGGAACTTGTACCTGTACATGATATATCTTAATTCTTTTTTTCTCCTTTCCCTCCCCTCCCTCCAACTCTTCTTCCCCTTAATTTACAAAAACTTTGTTTCCATTTTCCCTTCTATTTTTTCCTTTTCCCTTCCTTCTTTACCTCCTATTTCCCTTCCCATTTGAACATTTTCTTCCTACTTCACAGTAAGTACTAATTTTAAAGAACACAATTTTTCACAACACACAACATACAAAGGAACTTGATTCTGCTTGCCTGTAAAATCACTTAAAGAGCAAGGGCTATGTCTTGGTTTTGCTAACAAAGTATTGTCAATTACTACAGTATTTAACCCAATAGGTTATTATGGGCTTGATAATAAATTTAAATGGTTATATAAAATAATGAAGGTCCTAAAATTTATATACAGTACTTAATGTATTAAAAAAAAATCTATCATTTTAGGGGCTGGGGATTTAGCTCAGTGGTTTTACCGCCTGATGCGCAAGCGCAAGGACCCGAGCTCAAACCCTGGTACCTCCCCCGCCCCCCCAAAAAATCAATCATTTTTACCAGCAATTCCTCATCGCTCAATTTAGGTCTTCAAACAGATAATTACTAAACGTCATTTCCTACCCCATTAGTTTAACATTAATGATACTGTCCAGACAGATGCTGGGAGTCACAATGGATAAAGAAAACAACAGAGTGGGAAGTGGACTTTGGAGGACAAGGCACCAGAAAAATATGAGCTGCAGAGAAGTCCCAAAAATCTGTGTAAAAGCCCCTCACAGGCCCTAGGCCAGTGATGGGGAAACAGCCCACTGCCCCTGCCACAGGCTCACTACACCACTGTGCTAACTCTTAAACTGGCATGTGCAGGTGTGATGGGGGAGGGAATGGTGCAGCGGTGTTAACAGAAAACAGCTGAGTCAAAACTTCAGCAGCTGACAAATTTGAGTTCAGGGTCAAAGGATGAGTGAAAACCCTCAGCTTTCAGATGAAATCACAGAAAAGCCATAGCCTAGGAATGCAGATCATGCTATTAGGAATAAAATTTAAGACTGATTTGTAAAGCAAAACTGAAATACCCCTAACAAATCTAAAAACAAGACTTGTCAGTACCAAAGCAATTATCAATTAACTGTCTCCAAACACTAAATTCTGCATTCTTTAAAAAATAATTTTCAACCTCTATAAATATTGCTACTACCATATCTGGCACTCAAAACACTAGGGGAGGGAGAGAATTTGTAAAAAGTGACTAATAGTCAAAAGATCAAATTGTTTATGAAAAACATACCCAGATAAGGAGTAAGCAAAGACTTTAAAACTATGAATACTATGATAAAATAAAGATGAGGGAGAGAATGAAAATAGGAGTATTTGAAATGAGAAATCTATTTTTAAAAAACAATCAAGGGCCGGGGATTTAGCTCAAGTGGTTCTGCCACCTGCTTCGCAGGCACAAAGACCTGAGTTCGATCCCCAGTACCAAAAAATTAAAAAATAAAAAACAATAAAATAGATAAACCCTGGAACCACGAACAATATCTGATATTAGGAGCTTATTGAATAAATAACAATAGACCAAGATTAGCAGAATAAAGAGTTGTGAAGACAGAGCAAAAGAAAACATTCAAACTAAAGGACACACTAAAGGGAAAAAAATAGATTGTAATGTGAAGCGTGGTTACAAGATTTCAACATGAGAGACAACAGGACAGAAGCAATACATGAATGGACATATCAACTCTGATTTTTAAAACCTTAGATTCATTCAACCCAGGGAACTGCAGTATACACATAAACAAAAGTTACACTTGGGTACATCAAGTGTAGTCAGAAAACAACAATTTTCATAGAAATGACACGAACAGCTGACTTCTCAACTGAAACTATGTAGCAGTAAGACAACAGAAACTTTCATCTTACAATTTAATATACAGGGAAAATATCCTTCCAATATTAAAGAGAAATGATAGCCCTAACAGACATGCCATTACATCCACTTTCCAAATCCTCCCAAAAAGTGGATTCAAAATAAGAGGAATACCAGAGGAAAGCCTTACACCTGGAAGAATAAGATCCCAGATGGCCATGTGGACAGGCAAAAAAGCAAATAGCAAAAGTATATAAAAGATGGTTAAGTATATAAAAGATTATTAACAGTTCAAAGGTGCAATAATACTATCTTGTGAGGTTTTAAAACAGTAATAGATATAACCACAGTGTTGGGTATACATAGTTTTGTGTGACTGGGTATACAATACCATAAAAGATTTTAAAAAGAAAAAAAAAAAGTTGGGTATATTCAAAGTATACACTGAGTAAATAGCTCTCATCCAAATACTTGGGATCAGAAGTGCTCCAGATACTTAATTTTTTTTTCAGATTTTGGTAGGATTTGTTTTGTTGAGTTCTTTTTTTTGTTTTTTGTTTTTTGTTTTGGTATCGGGAATTGAACTCGGGACCTTGCGCTTGCGAGGCAGGCACCAGAACCACTGAGCTAAATCCCCCGCCCTAGGATTTGTATATATACAGTGAGATATCTTGGGATCTAAACATGAAGTTCATTTACGTTCCAAATATATGTTCTACACAAAGCCTGTAAGTAATTTTATATGGTATTTTAAATAATTCTGTGCATTAAACAAAGTTTGTGTATTATTGAAGCTCAGAGAATTTCTTCCCTTGATGATACTGAAGAAACCACGCATTGTACACCACCAGCATGTAGACTGAAACCTGACATAAAATCAGGATCAGGTCAGTACGAGAAAGTTTCAAGTTTTGATGTTAAACATGTAGTGCTGTAAATTCTCTTAAATGTACAGTACCCACAAGCTCAAAAATCCTCATTATAAACTATACAACATTTATTTAAGCTTTTTCATCTTGGCACATGAAAAGAATGAAGCAATTTACAATGTGAATTACAAATATCACTGGCTCAAAAACATCATTCTATAATTCATTTAAAACTTTCTGTTCTTTCCTATTATTCCACTCTTTTCACTATTACAGGAATAATGGAAGAATCACATAGTATCAAGTCTGAACACACAGGAACTAAAAGTGGGTAAACAGGAGAGAAAACATGTCCCACTCCTAGAACTTAAAAAATGGCTGGGTTGGGACAGGGATTTAGCTCAGTGGTTTTGCCACCTGCTGCACAAGCACAAGGACCTGAGTTTGATCCCCAGTACCAGAAAAAAAAAAAGTCAGATTTGTTAAAAAAATAAAAAATAAATAAATAAATAAAAAATGGCTGGGCATGGTGTTGCACGCCTGTACTCCCTGATACCTGAAAGGTCAGGCAGAAGAATCACAAGATTGAATGAAGCCAGGCTTGGCAACTTAGCTAGACTTTCTCAAAATAAAAAATAGGACAAGGACATAGCTCAGTGCTAGAATGTCCCTGGGTTTGATACCAGTACAGCACACATGCCTGTATACACACACACACCAAGATATTCTTCTGGATTAAAAGGGCTGCTTTAAGTGATATGGTCTTTAAGAACACAAATCTGTATATTTTCCTAGATAAATCTTTTGATTTAATTATAATTAAGGAACTACATCAAATCAAAACAAAATGAATTTTATTTTTAAAAGAAAATAATAAGAATGGTTTTAGGTAACTCTTCAGTTAAAGATATACTTCAATTGACAAATCTCCAATTTGTTCATTGTTTAATTTTCTAAGTACAATTTAATATAAATAAAATTTAAACCAAGTAATCCCAGTAATCAGGAGGGTGAGGTAGGAGGGCTGCCAAGTGTTTGAGGCCAGCATGGGCTTCACAGTAACTTCAAGGTCAGCCTGAAATATACAGTGAGAAACCCTGTCTCAGAAATTTAAAAAGTAAATAAATGAATAATTTAAATATTTTGAGACTGGATCCCCTCAAAAGATTTTTTTTTAAAGGCTAATTTAAATGAGGCATATAGGATTTTGGATTAATCATGAAATGGATCACACAGCTGGGCTATATGATAATTGTACCATCAACAGAATTCCCCTGAAACTCCTTACCAGGTGTTTCATTTTTAAACTGTTTCAATCAGATATCTTTTATAAGACAAAGGAGCAAGTAAAGGAAATACTATCAATATGGATATGTATGTTAACTAAAACATTTCAAACAAGTTCTATTTTAATGATTCAAACTTACTTTTAAGGTTGCTTTCTATAGTGCACAAATAAATTAAATTTACGTAAGTTTAGCTGGGGATTTAGCTCAGTGGTTCCACCGCCTGCCTCAAAAGTGCAAGGACCTGAATTCAATCCCCAGTACCAAAAAAATACCAAAAAACCCCAACAAATTTACATAGTTTAAAAACAAAATTCTTTAAAGTCCCAACCATATTCCCTCTCCCTACTCTCAAGCAGTGATCTCTCCCAGTGAGTAAATCTCACTCAAAATTACACCTTAAATGCCCATATTTTACTAGTATTTCTAGGTTTATAAATCATCAGAACAAAAAAGTTAAAGCTAATGCAATAGATCATGGCTACTCTCTCAAAGTAACCAAACATATTTTTAACCTAAAAAACAATCTGCCCTTGAAAAACCACTGTATAACATATTTCAGTTGGGCAGAACAGGGTGCTAGAGTAAAGCAAACTATGAGATGGTGCTGTGTTTATCTGGTAACCAGTATACCCAAAAGAGGGCTCATGAAACCAAAGAACCAGAATGGTAGGCTGGAATACGACTGTGAAAGGCCTCAAAGGTCAGGCTAAAAGTGTACCTTTCATTTTGTGGGCAATGG